ACACCGGCCCTCCAGGACCGAGTTTGGACAGCCCTGTCATACACTCATCCTGTGCAGCGCTGCTTCAAATCGAATGCGCCTAATGTATGCTACCGTAACCTGAGCACGACCTGTAGAAGACACACGCTGTGTGTAAATCATGTCACGCACAATTAAATATGTAGGAGGTAGGGATGGGCAAATGAAGCATCGTGAAGCACTGAGGCTTTCCTCTGACTGTTTCGGGAAAAGATTCAAAGCTTGGAGTGTCTCGAAAACAGCGCCATCTGGTGGTTCATTAAAAATATAGCAGCCAAAAGCCAGTGAAAGATGCTCCGTAGGACGAGGCATCTACCACATATTCCACAGATCGATTCAAGTTACGTGCACAAATAAAAGCCTAACAAGTGTGTGTGTTTGTGTTTGCTGAGTTTCTGATAAATTAATTTACCCATTAAACTGCAATTTAATACCAGTACGAATATCAATATGGTGTAATAAAAGAATAATGTACACATATGAATAGCATATGACAAATGTTGAATTTTTCTGAAATAATTTGTATTCTTCATATTACTTGTATGACTGGGTATCTAAAATGTAACTGAATAAGTCTGAATTAAAACTTGTTTGTAAAGTAAGATCTGGGGGATTGAACATTTCGACACGCAAAGTGAATCGCGCACGTGACTGGACAGAAAGTGAAGCTTCATTTGTCATTGGTCACGTGATTTCTATGACAATTAATGACACAAGCTTCGAATCGAGGCTTCATCTGGCACGCCCATTTATTCTTGACACAAGCTCCGATGCCTCGGTTCAAATGTCACATCACTAGCAGGGGGTAATACCACTAACTTAAGAAACCAGGTCAGGTACAGTTCATATATCTGACTGCTTGTATTTATTGACAGAATTGTATAAATGTGAAGTAAAATTTAAAATTGAGGATGCTGTGCATTGTCAATGCATTGTGATGCATCATGATATCGAATTGAACCGAATCGATGACATGATAATCGTAATCGTAACCGATCCGTGAGACCAGTGTAGGTTCACACCCCTAATACATACTAGGGATGTAATGGTATCAAAATCTCACAATACGATAATATCGCGATATGAAGCCCACGGTATATTTATTGTGATATTAAAAAAAAAGACAAATTAAGAATCGGGGAAAAAATGAACATTTTGTACATTTTAAAGTTAAATTATTCTATCTAATGCACTTTGCGAGTTCAAAATTAAGAGCTCGAACCCGTGTCCTTAACTAAGAAGAAGTCAGAAAAAAGTCAGTGAACTGACTTGTAGCTGAACTTTAAAGGGGACTCAACCCTCTTTTTATTTGTGATCATCTGTCTCAGTCTAAATTACATTCACACTGGTGTTTGAGAAGCCAAACAAATTAGAATAGAATAATAATAACAACAACAATGACAGTAATTGCCACATATTGTAAAACATACATATTTCATAGGTATATTATTTTTGCTTTACACTACAGTAGGGAAATTACACATTTCTACACCTGAAAGAGATATTTTGAATTTGGACTGCATTTAAACCGCTAGCTGTCAGCAATTCATACTGTACTTTTAAGCTTTTATTTTGACAGAAACAGCTGTAGAGCTTTTATTCTGAAGGAAAACTCCAGCTTCAGTGAAAACAGGCTTACAAAAACGCATCTCAATACAAATCTAGTGAAATGCTGTAATCATCTGCTGTGAAAATAAAGCCTAACTGGTGGCCGTTGTGTTCCCAAACGTGTGCAAAACTCACAGCACATGAAATAAAGGAGTTGACTGCATTCATTCAGTGTGAACGAGTCGTTCTGAGACGCGGAAAACATCGGATCACGAGCTGATCGTCTGAACCAAGTGTGCGCTTCGCTTTGAAACACACAGCGCAAACAGACTTGATGAAGGGATTAAGCCATATTGTGCTTTCGGTTTTATTTCATTTAACAGATAATGTGCCAAAGCATAATGGCCCAAAACAAATATATTTTATATATAAACTACACTTTTCCCCGGAAGACCTATCTTTTAATATATCGTCATGTGACCACGATAATCTCGAGACAGTTTTGCTATCATGATATCGCGATATTGATAATATAGTTACATCCCTAATGCATACATAAATACATACTGGGGTGTAACGATCCATTGATACATCGATCAAATGTCTAACGATATATCGATGACACACATAAAATATCGATATTTGTAGTATATAGGCACTTTATTTTGACCGTGGTTTACAGTGAATTTATAACAGCTAAGGGGCATTGTTAAAACTTATTGGAGCTTATTGCTTTAATAATAAACCTGCTGCTGTCAAAGAAAAATTAGTGCTCACTGCTCCTGACTGAATAACTTTTTTAACATTAATAATGATTAATCTATATTTAATTTATACTGTGAAGACTATGCAGTGTTATTTTACATTTAGTTATTACATTTCTGCACCTGAAAATGTCTTTTAGACCTACCTGAAAAACCTGAAAAGCACTGTTTACTGAATTTGTGTCTTTGTTCTATTGCATTGTTTTTTTTGTTTTTTTTGATATTGCTTGTAATTTGGTTCTGTAGAATCTGTGGAAAAGATGTTTAGCACTGAGACAATTGTAGCAGCCAAAAAAAGTCTAAAATAAAGTTTTAACAGCTTTATTTTTGTTATTATTTATATATATATTTCTACATTAATGTATTTTTGTAATACATTAATGTATTAGGTACTACAACTGGAGTACCACATATTTGTTGTTTCCTAATGAGGATTTACAGTATTTTACACATTGCACATTTTAGCACAGACTTCCTTGACTGCTGTCATGTCATTAAAAATTACTGATCTTATGTGTGACCTGATTTATTTATTTATTTATTTTTAATGATTGAAAAAAAAGTGTAGGCCTATTTTTTTGTTTTGAGTGTCCCAATTGAGGTACAGGATGTGGAAATTTCAGATAAATGTTCATGTTATATATTTTGGTTGCATTTGTGAGTTAATAAAAATGTAGATGGTTGTTTAAAATAGGAACATAATATCATAATATTGATAAATCGATCAATATAGAATCTTTTGAGGTATCTGCAAATATCTTATCGCTGGTTATGAGAATCGGTATCATATCATATCGTGATGAACCATCTGATTTAGACCCCTAACACGTACATAAATAACAAACACATTAATACAGAGTTCTGGCATGAAACTCTAGATGGCGCAGTCCGATAGGTCTAAGTCAATCTGACCTAATGACATCATTATCACATGGCACAGCTGATTGGTTCTCTCCTGTATCGGTAGCCAATGAGCTCGCTGCTCAACATTCAAATATATGACTAGGGCTTAGCAGTTGCAGCTTGCTTCAGAAACCCTCCACCTTCCCCAGCTCCACCTGTATAGATCTGCTACGAGGTGATTCATGTATGCTGTATGGGGGTTATTTCATGCATGTTATATTTGCAGCAGCAATATTTCTTACATGCTCACAGCAGCATGTTGTGGATGTATTGGCAGTAGCAAGTCTCGGTACTTGCTCTGCCGCAGCAGCAGCAGCGTAGCAGATCTATTCCGCCAAGACCAAATACATTAACATTGTCATGTACATTACCATGCCATGAGTTGTCATGACAGAAATTAGTTTAGTCCCTAAACCTCACTCATCTGGTCTGCTGCACTTGAAAAGCTCTGGCTGATTTCTTTATTGCTATGATGCTCAAATTTGAATGTAGTGTTTCAGGAAATCAAGCTCACAGACTTTAAAGGGATAGTTCAGTCAAAATGATAATTCAGTTATAAATAATGATTATCCCTTTAAGGGCATGTACAGTGATAATTGCTTTTTTGACTATAGCCACAGTTTGGTGCAATAAATGTATTTATGAAAAATAAAAACGTTTAGGGTTGCGCTGCTGTGAAATATATATACATTTCAAAAGTTTCTTTGCATTTTTTTGTTAGGGAGATCTTCCCAATGGCCCTGCGAAATTCCATGTGCTCTTCCTGTTGTTTGTGGCGCTCATGTTTTTTGTCAGTCTCATGTTCCTGTTTGGCTATCACTGCTGGTTGGTGGCTAAAAACAGATCCACGCTAGGTAAGAAAGCCTTTCTTCTTATGCTGAATTGCTGGGTGCTCCTTTACCCTTTCATTGTATTTCTTCAAGAAGCAGAAACTTCATGAAACTTCATACTGCTTGCTACATTTTGAGCTTGACCTTTGGTTAGCAGAAGTGATTTATGTGGCTCATATTTCTGGTGTGGACTGTTTAACCTCAAAGAACGTTCTTGTTTTTCAGAGGCTTTTTCTGCGCCAGTGTTTCAGAACGGGCCTGACAGGAACGGCTTTAATGTTGGGCTCAGCAGAAACCTCCGGCAGGTGTTTGGAGAGGATAAAAAGCTCTGGTTTATTCCAGTGTTCACAAGGTGAGCTCATGTCAAAACTGCTCACAGTCTGAAAGGATGAGAGAATGCATTAAACTGATCAAAATTTACACTGAAGACATAATGTTTCAAAGGATTTATATTTCAAATAAATGCTGTTGTAAATACTTTTGTACTTTCTGTTCTATTTCTTCATCAAAGAAACCTGAAAGAATTCTACTCAGCTGTTTTCAACATAATAATAATAAATGTTTTTTGAGCAGCAAATCATAATATTAGAATGATTTCTGAAGGATCATGTGACACTGAAGACTGAAGTAATGATGCTAAAAATTCAGCTTTGAAATCACAGGAATAAATTACATTTTAAAACATATTCAAATAGAAAACAGTTGTTTTAAATAGTAAAAAATATCTTGCTCAGTATCAATATTTTACTGTTTTTGCTGTACTTTGGATCAAATAAATGCAGGCTTGGTGAGCAGAAGAGACTTCTTTAAAAAAAACTTTTGACTGCTAGTGTGAATATTTCCCATGTGTTGTGTTTGTCTGTTATAGTCAGGGTGATGGGCATTATTTCCCACTGAGGACCCTGTGTGAATCTGAGAATCCTTTATTGGCCAACGAGGGGAAATGGATGGAGGACGGTGGATCAGATGAAGAAAGCGCAGGTGAGATTGCATTCAAGTTGAAATACATCTTTAAATACTGCAACTAAAGCTTAATATGTAATTTTGTACTTCAAGCACATCTGATATACTAAATGTGCCACTAAATGTCAGTTCTTCTGCAACTTAATTGCACTTCATTGTCATTTTGGAACATCTGATAATTTTTGGTTAAAAATGCTCAAGTCTGTAGGCAGTGGATTCTTTTATTTTTTGCTTCTTTAGAAGGCTTGTATCATGAGGAATCAAACTGTCTTAATCTTTTGAGAAGATGTCATACACTAGACATGAGTGAGTGAGTTTAAGTGCATAGTGTATAGTATGTCAGTTGGGTAACAACATGAATAACAGCAACTGCTTTTCTTCACGAAGTGTTGAGTTTTGAGCTAATAAAATCTGAATACAAATTGTACAGATCTTCACTGTTTTTACAGTTATAAGTGAATTTATATCTGCCTTTCAACTCAAACTTAGTGTTTTATTGTCCATTTCCATGAGACAAAATGTAATATTTAGTGGCACTGCTCTCAGTGGTTAGTCTGGAGCTCTATATTTGGATTTCAAATAGAGGTGCTATATCTAATACGGGTGCAGTGCAATACCTGAACAATACAGGGTTTATGGACGTTTGGGTTCAGTGACATTTGATATTTAGTCATTTGGGTAACACTTTAGTATAGGGACCAGTTCTCACTATTAACTAGTTGCTTGTTAGCATGCCTATTTATTGGCTGTTTAATAGCACTTATAAAGCTTAAAAATATACCTAATCCTACCCAATACTTAAACTTAACAGCTACCTTACTGACTGTTAATAAGCAGTAATTAGGAGTTTCTTTAGACAAAAGTCATAGTTAATAGTTTGTTAATAGTAAGTGTGACCGTCATGTGTTTCCAGTTTATATTGTTCAAAGAAAGCTGCTGTTAGACAGATTTTTAAACAAGTGTTAACTCTCTCCAATCCAATGTTATTTTCAGATGAAAATGGACCTTCAGTCATTATTAGGATGGAATCATAATCACTGGAGGGTATGATTACTCGGTGAGTATGGATTTTAGTGGTGAAGGCAAGCATTAGTCGATTACTATTAGCTCATATGTAGCGTAAGTCATTTAGGCATTTTCATTCCTCAATATGATCTGGTCCTTCACAATAGTGATCCTGGCAACACTACTCAATATAAAAATCTAGATCTAGAAATCTAGTATTGAATCTATTCCCTGTTATTTGCTCATTTGTTCTAACACTAACATTGGTTTCTTATTTATTTGAATAGTGGTATCCTGGTTGACTTTAGCATCATGAGTAGTTTAAGAAACCACCAATCCTTGAATGAGACGACTGCATTCCAAATCCTGGATCATTCCAGAAAAGCCTGTTTCTAGAGAGCCAAATATATTGGGAACAGTGAGGATTTTCTTGTAATGCTGATTACTTAGAACTCGTGCTGAATGTTATCAAGTGTATTGCTCATCTTTTATGAAGAGGAGAGCTGCAGGACAATCACTGGCATTTCCAGATGTCATAGACCTGTTGGACTGTTTATTATCATGCTTTGATGAGAAAAGATGGACATCTCTGATGAAATATGATATACCAATATCTTTTTTTTTTTTCTCTTCACATAGTGGGATAAATGTTTGAAAACTTGGACATGTCCAGATCATACTTCTCCCCAAAACAAAGTGAGATTAAATTAAGCCTGTTCATTGTCACGCCCCTGGACTGTATCTGTGTGTTTTTCCCTCTCCATGTGCCTGCCCTGACCTAGTTTTCTCATGTGTTTGATTGTTCATTAGTTCCAGGTGTGTCTCGTCATCCCCTCGTCAAGTCATGTGTATTTATATTGAGTCCTGTTCTGAGTTTCGTCGTCTGGTATTGAATGTTCGTCTTTCCCTGCTACGTGTATTTTCCTGGTTCCTTGGATGTTTATTAAAGTCTGTTCGTTTGAAGTTTACTACTCGTCTCCTCGTTCCTCGCTCCGTGCTCCTGATAGTAGCGATCGTGACAGAATACCAGACCGAAACAGTTACCTCCGTGTGTTCCCTCTGTTTTTGTTTCCGTTGTGTCCATGGATCCCCTCCTTCGTCCGGAATACCTCCTCCTCCTGCTGGATCAGGGGGAGAGATCGCTCGAGGGCCACACCAGACTGTTCCTGGTGCTCGCCAACCTCTCCAGCTACCCGGACGACGCGCTCTGTGCATTCTATGATGCCAGTTCTGGCTGTTGCCTGGGTCCTGCTCGGCCCCTCCTGCTCCAAGTCCTTCCTGTCGCCTCCCCGGTCCCTCCCTCCATCGTCACCTCCCTGGACTCTGTCTGCCGGCCCCCTCCCGGGTGTCCGTCCTCCTCCCGGGCCTCCTCCCAAGTTCCCACCCGTGCCCCCCCTCTGTTGTTCTACGGTGCGAGGACACGCCTTCCGGGAGTAGGGCGATATGTCACGCCCCTGGACTGTATCTGTGTGTTTTTCCCTCTCCATGTGCCTGCCCTAACCTAGTTTTCCCATGTGTTTGATTGTTCATTAGTTCCAGGTGTGTCTCGTCATCCCCTCGTCAAGTCATGTGTATTTATAGTGAGTCCTGTCGTCTGGTATTGAATGTTCGTCTTTCCCCGCTACGTGTGTGTTCCTGGTTCCTTGGATGTTTATTAAAGTCTGTTCGTTTGAAGTTTACTCCTCGTCTCCTCGTTCCTCACTCCGTGCTCCTCACAGTAGCGATCGTGACATTCATGACCATATTATTTTTAATATTTACTGTATATATGAAAACCTGCGAAAATGCAAAACTTGTATTTATACTTTTTGGTAGTACTTGCTATCCTACCTTTAATCTCTAATTAAAAGCAGCACGGTAAATAAATTAATCAAATAACAATACAAAATCTAATTTGTAAGCAATAACGAGAATTTAATAAGAATAACTTGAGAATAACTAAGAACTGAGACTTACAGCAAAACTACAAATTAAAATATCTGGATGCATTACAGTAATGAGAACTGGAGGGGAAATGTGCTTAATTATAATATCACAAAATAAAAAAGGTTTCTTGTTTATCATGCACAATATAATTCCTTTTATGAATTCCTTTTCTTTTGATTTTGGGGTGAAGTATGACATGGACAGGTTTCGAGACATTCACCCAATTTAAACGGAGAGCTCTTCCTCTCTCTTGTGTGTGTGTGTTGCCACCATTAATACAAGTCTCCATACTGAGTTGGTAAGAAGTCAATCCTATGCATTTCTCCTCTGTATATCACTGTCTTTGGCTGATATTTTTATTGAGCTTGTTTTAATCTTCAATGACTGATTCAGACTGTGACTGTTTTCCTGTGGCCAATAGTGAGCGGTTTGGATTTACCTGCTTTCTTTTGCATTGTGATGCAGTATAAAGACATTTTGATACCTCTCTCTCCCTGTAAATATTTAGGAAGAGACTGCTGAGGTCAGTATTGTTTAAGACTTGTAAAACCTAATACGAAATCTGTTTAATGTATTACCGTAAAACCCATAAACACATGAGGCTGTTTTCAGATGATGAGACTGTCCTGTGTAAACTATTACCTTGTTTTCCTCTAGTGCAAAAGAAGTAGATATGGCATCGCAGTATCGTATTGTATTGTAAGTGGGCGAGTAATCCTTTTGAATTTGAAGTTTGAAAGGTATGTTTGAGTCCCGTTTGTGTGGCCCTCTTCAGATACTGTAATTGTCTGCATAAATAATTGATAGGCCTATCATATGGTTCTCACTTATGAGGATCCTTATTAGCCAATGCTTATTGTTTGATTTGCACTGCCCCTAATCTGAGGGCGATCATTGCTTCCTTTGACTGTGTATGCACTCAAACACTTTCCTTTAACTCCATATCCACTACATGTTTAAGTCTTTACATGCCAATGTTTTTCCAATGGTGCAAAATATGTATTGTTTGAAAGTTCTGTCTTGATGATTAAATGTTATAAGTCTTTCAATACTTTACTTTGGTGATCTTCACTTCTTGAAATCTAATATCACTAAGCGTGCCTTTTAAGAAATCACACATTATGACTGGAAAATGTTCATGTATTTATTTTCATTTATTTGTCTTTCAGAATGTTTCAGGGTGAAAGGTCAAATGCAAAAAGGCTGACAGCAGTCTCAACTGGCAAAGATCACGCCACATTTACATGCAACACTCCTTTGCCAAGATCTTAACTCTTCACAGCCTTTTTTTTAAACAGAACTAACGTTTTATTAAGCAAAGAAAGGAAGGCACATCTGCAGCAGTGGAGTGCACTTCTGCCAATGATGAGACCGTGTCGCTGGACTCCAGAAGGTCATGATTAATGTCATTTAATGCACAGAATTAATTTGTGTAGCTGACCGTAACCATAAATCATTCTTACCTGAACAATGATACTGTGGAAGGATTTCCTGTTAACATAATCTCCCTCATGTTACGGATATGGGTGCAATCCACTGCACCAATGACATTAGGGAAAGCTGTAACACAAAATAATGAGTGTCCTACTGTGACTGTGCTAATGTAACACTTCTTTCTTGTAATCTGTAGTTTGTGTTACCTGCAATCTCGTAGAACTCCTCCTTGATGTGGACGAATCTTTTGTGGCCAGGGAAGGTGATGAATATGTGCGCAAGTGATTTCAGTGCTAGACTAACATTTCTTATCGTGCGGCAAATAGTGCCTTTATTGAGGTTTTCAGCATCTCCAACAGAATAAAGGAACATGCCACTTACTAAGAATCGCAGCGCTACGCAGACCGTCTGTGGGACAGTGAGAGCGTGGCTATGTGTTTTTCTGTTGTATTTTTGGACCCAGCAGCCTACACAAATATCGGATGCCATCACCTGAGAATCTGTACCTCTCAGTCAGATATTCGTCTGCAAAGGCCAACGGGTCTGACCTGTCCCGGAAGACTCTTTCATGCCTGAATGCTCGTCTGAGTATTAACACTTCCTCGTCTAGTACATCACCCAACAATAGGCACGCCATCATTAAGAGGAAACACCTGAATCGGACTTTAGCCTATATATACTACATATTGACCTTGTCAAGGACTTACATGAAACCACCTTTGCAACTTCAGCCATTTCTTCAAATCTCAACAACTGCAATAATAAATGTATTCATCAAACCTCTGACAGTAATATGAACAGCAGTCTTCATAACAACACTAAAATAACAGTAGGCATACTTAGATATGCCATACAGTATATCTGGTATTTTAATGCAGGATAATTAAAATGATGCAACATATTTACAGAAGACCTTGGAGTGACTGTAAAACATTAATTTCTAGTAGGATTGACAGCGGAACTAACAGATAAATCACTAGGATTAATCTTAGCCTGGTTGTTAGCTGGTAGCTGCAAAGAATAAATCTCCATAGTAACTTAATTTAGCCTGCTTTCATGCAACTGAGTCAGGGCTAAATTCAGCCAGTATAACTGGAAAAACCCAGCTTAATCCCTTATCTTGCTTTTGTGCAATGCCCCTCAGGTAATCTTGACTCCCTCGACATATTCGATGTTATTTACTTTGAATAATTTAACCGTAACATCCATACCAATTGGTACATTTGTCAAATAAATAATTTTAGAGTTTAGCTCCAATCCTAATAAAACACACCTGGAAAAAAAAAATTCTCAGGAAAACCTCAAAATTACAGGCAGACTAAGATTAATGTTTTTTTTTTTTCAATTAAATTTAATTAATGTTTGTTTTGTTTTTTTAAGAAGAAGCTGAAAGACTTTCACATTTAATCCTTGCAGAATTATTAGGTAAAGAATGACAGGCATGAACTGTCCATTATTGCGTTATTTTGGAAGACCATCTTTGTGCCATTCAGCACTTGGCTATCTCCCAAGCACTGCAATTTCCCGAGGAGGTCTACCATTACCATTGAAAGCTGGATGTTGAATGAATTAGAAATGTTGAACAGAATGCAAAGGTCAGCTGGAACAGAACAGGAAGGTGGCAGCTTTCTGATTCCACAATTATAATGGCAGTTAATTATGAATTCTCAGCAGGCCACAATGGACAGAATATTCATACAAGACAATGGACTTTCTCTTTTTCACGGCAAAGCATGATAGGAACAATCTCAGACCTGCCATATTGCTATCTATCTATCTGTCTATCTATCTATCTATCTATCTGTCTGTC